GAGGAGGACACATTCTGCATGGAGCACTGGGTGTTACGCACAAACAATGAATCATGGAACACTACATCTAAAACTAATGATGTAATGTATGGGGATTAACATAACAATAAAAAAATTAAAAAAAAAAAGAAAGAAAGAAAAGAGCTGAGAAAAGCTGGCAGCCAACTGACCTTCACATTTCCACCCACAATCTTCAGGTCATGATCTGACTAGATGTCCTGCCTTCCTCTGTATATTAATCCCCTCCCACTGCTCTGTTCCTAACCTGGGTCACCCTTGAGTTTGTTAACAATATGGCAATCAAGATGACATCAGCTACCAGAGAGACTGGGGTGAGGAGTAGCAGAAACAGACCAGAGATGAAGTACAGCATGAACATTGCACAACACCTGTATCGAAAAAGCTTGAAGCAACAGCCTTGAACGGACTAAAGCCTGGGACGTGTACTATAATATCATGTACCAAGACAAGTATGGAAGGGTGCCTATGAAAATCTTTCACATCTCGCTTTTATAACTCTGTGACTCACAACAACAAACAAGTTTAAGGCTCTAGGAATTTGGCAGCTACAGATGCTCTCAGTGCCAATAATCTGGCACAAGGAAGGTTAATTCTTGTTTGTGAAGTCTGCTCTTGGCTTTGGCTATGTGTACAAGGGCTTGATGTCTCGACAAAATTATTAAGAACTGGTTCATGAATCTCTCAGTGCATTTAATGTAAGAACGCTGTCCTCCCAGCCAAAGCTTCTCTGTCTATCAGGTTACCAACCATCTGTATAATTTAAGTGTGAGACGTCTGTGCAGATGGTGAGGGCAAAGAATGAATTATGGAGGCAACTCGGGGTTCTGCTATGTGGGGCTGGGACTCAGAGATGAACTATTAGAGAACTGGAAGGTGGGGGAAGAGGTAGTGGGTTCATTTTTCAACACTGTCAAAAAAAATCTTATACAGGCACGCTAGAGCAGATAGTCTTCATAATGTGTGACTGCATACATTTCCCAAGCTGGAGTAGACACTCTTTTTATTCCATTTTCTCGATGGGGATTTTAATAAATGTTAAGCATATTATTTTTCTCTTGGCCATCAAACATTTTCAAGCTTTCACACACCTCTTTTCCATCACAGAGCAGAAATGTCTGCCTTGATACAAAATGGCTGAGTGATAGGCATGCTTCTCTATTCTTAGAGAGGGCTGGATTCTACAGTGACCTGGTGCCCAGGATTTGGTGCAAAGGTTTTGTTTAGCTCCTCAACTGCCAAATGACTCAGGCAAATATAGACACAAGCTCTTCCCCTCTTCTGAATTTTTAAAACGACTAATATGAAATCTAATACAAAATGTCTCGTCTTCCCAGTTTCCACATCCTTTCGTCAAGAGGATCAGCTTCCAGTCACATAGCAAAGTCAGGTCTGCTGCACATAGGTGGGCGTTGATGGACTACACAGAGTCACTTGATGGGGATGGAGTGAGCGGAGGCTGCAGTTAAGTGCATACTCTGCTCAGCAAGCTGGGACCTGCAAGGTCCTCCACCTCCCTCTGCTAATTTTCATGCTGAGTGTTACCTTCTGCTTGCTAAGCCCTTTGAGAGAAGTGCTGCATCTGCCCACAGGGGGTACCCAGCGGTGGCCTTTCTTCAGTTCCCACAAAGCTTCAGACAAGGCTGGCCACCAATGCTGAGCTTAGTGCCATTTAGGAAAAGCACCCCCATCAACACTTTTAAACTTGCAAATAAAGAAGGTACACCAGCCCTGAAACCCTTCTTTACCAACCTGCTTGTGCTACTCAAACAATAGTATAGGCTGTAAGAAATGAGTGAAATAAGCTTTCTTTCCAGATCATCATCATCAAACCATTACAGACACTAGGAAAATAGCTATTTGTAGGGACCAGGAAGAATTGTTTCTAGACTCTAGATGGAAAGTGGCTTAACTTAAAAAACAAAACAAAACAAAAAAAACTCCTGCTTTCATAAGGTTTTGCTTATAGCAATTCAATTGCTCCTTTTTATTGTCAGAGTAGGTTGGAAGGGAGGAGCTAATTGACCTAATTTTTCAAAATGGGAACAGAGAGGCAGAGGGGTCAGCTAATCTCCTCCTGGCTGTATGGAGAATCAATGGAATGCTTTTTGGCTGCAGATCTGCCTCTGCCCCTTGGCTACTGCTCCGGTCAACTCTGGAAGACAGAAGTGAGCAAGCAGTCAATGGACCCACCTCAGTGGCTGCCTTCTTGGCCTTCTCTTCTGCATTTTGACACCTCTGCACTGCCTCTTCGGCTTCATTCTGCATCCTGCCAACATCAACCTCCAGTCTCCTCTTCTGGCTGAGGAGGATAGTATTCTAAAGCAAAGTGGCACTCTCCTTAGGCAAGTTGAGACCAGCAAGGCAAAAGCAAGCTGGTGGGTTGAGGACATGCAACAGGAATGGGCTCTGGCCAGGAGCAAGTTCTGTTCTAAGCAGCCACAATCAGCGAAGCAGTACTTCCAACCCCAGGAAGCCTCCCTAGAAAACTCTCCTTTGCCAACAAAGGCATATTTGCATGGAGGGTATTTCATCCGTTAGAGGTTCAGTATTAAAGAGATAGTTTGTCTGAATAAGAAAGTAGAAATGGATCCAGATTATCTACAAACCACAACTATGTGTTTGGTTTTCAACTTGTTGAGGAATACGGTGTTCTGCCTTTTGTTCTCTGATGTGGTAGAAGCAAGTGTTCCAGAGCACAAGTGCAGGCATTTGGGGAGCAGGAGGTTGGGGAATAAAAATCAGTTTCCCACATGCTGCTCCAGGAAAAACAAAAACCGCACTTCCTTTTTATCTACCTCCCCTTCTACCTGACTTTGCAGTGAGGAGACGGGAAGTGCAGCTCAGATGAGCCTCATCCCCCAGGCCTTAGGAGCCCTCCGCCACGTGGGAGGATGCTTGGTGTTTTGTGGCTGGTACTGTCCTAATTCTTTCTTTCCTGGTTGTGACACTAGAGACTGAGGCTCCTTTTGCTGCTATTTGGTCCATGTTTGAAGCACAGCTTTTCTGAGGGTGTGAAACCTTAGCACAGAGAATGTAATATAAAAAGCACAGGTTCCTATTTTTGATTTCTCTTCATTGTCCTTTCACTTTTCTCTAGCAAATTCCTCTCTCAGCAGTAGGATTGTACCTTGGAAATAGAAAGATATTCTAGCCTCACAGGTTCTGCCCTGCTTCCTCAATGGCATGAAGCATCTTCATCGAGGCTACCATGCTCTGTCCTCACAGAGACCTAGGTTCTATGCCCCCCACCCCAGGATTTTCCCTGGTGGTGGTGGTGGTGTTGAGGATAAGTGTATTTTACTGGATATTTTCTGGATGCTCACTGCACATAACTCCATAGAAACTCTTTCTTTGTAAAGGAAGGTATAAATATAAATGCTGACTTGTTCATACGTGGAATCATTTAAAATCTGCTAGGGAGATAATGGTCAAAACCTTTTCAAGCTGAATGACTCTAATTGGTTCTTTTGGGGAGGAAGGGGGTTAGGAGATATTGTGCAAGAGGGCAATCTAGATTGTCACAGCTCAGGTTTGAAAAAAGAACACATATAATCAGCCAAGGATAAGTTTGGCCTTGTATATTTATTCTAGGCCTAGAGGTCTGGGAATGCAGAAGAGACTAAGAAGTTTCCATAAAATGTTCATTATGCTTTCAAAAGATTGACAGCATTCTATTAATTGCAAGGTACCCCCACACGATTAATGTTGGGGAGAGGTCCTTGTGAGCAATGTAGTATCACCTAGATATGCTGGTCAGACAATGTGGTATCACCTAGATATGCTGGTCAAAGGGACCAGCAGCGTCACCTGAGAATTCATTTGATTCCTGGGTCCCACTGCAGAGATTCTGATTCAGTAGGTCTGAAATGAAACCTGAGAATTTGCATTTTTGTGTTAGTTTCTGTTATATACCTAAAGTGTCAGAAACTCTGCCCTAGAGATCAGGTTTCCACGGCCTAATTTTCTTTTTGTTTTTTTCAAATTCATCTCCCCCTCCCTGTGTCTGCTTTTGCTCTGGTTGATGTGCTCAGCTCTCTCTAGGCTAGTGGTCTTTCATCATATTGGGACCCACTGGTACATTATCAGTTATAATATGCATGGCAAATGATTTATTACCAATAGCTATTAAGTACTACAGATAGATGATTACTTTTTAAAAATTCAATATCCGACTTTATAAGAAGCCTGCTCGTTGTATTTAGATAAGCTTTCCTGAGAGAGAAAGAAAATGTTGAAGTGAGTTAGCCTGCCGGGAATTATGCATAACACACAGCCTATTTGTTCCATATCACATGATATCTAAGTAGGGTTGTGTCATGCACAATGTTTTGTTGGACACGAAAGTCAAACGTAGGCACAAACTAATTGCAGTGCCTTCCAGCTGGTACATCTTTGGCTGATCCTTCCTTTTTCCCAATATTTCTAGGTAGGGGCACAATTGGCAATCTTGGAGGGGCAATTCTTTGTGAAGTAGGATTATCCTGCACCTAGCACTAGTATCTCTGAACTCTGCCCACTAAATGTCAGTGGCTCTCTCCAGTCACTGTGGCAACCAAAATGATCCCACAGATGTTTCTAAATACTCAAGGTATGGCAGTTCTGCCTATAGTTGTTTTAATCCACCCTTCACAGCAATCACCAGAGTAAACTTCCTAAAATGAAAATCTGATCCTTTCACTCTTGTTTACTTAAAATTCTTCAGTGGATCCCCATTAGCTGCAAGACAGAATTCAAGCTTCATCAGTCTCGGACTCAAGGTTCCTGGGGACCTGGCTCTCCTTGCCTCTTAGCATTATTTCTCTGATCTCTCCTACCCCCCGCTCCACCATGTTCGAGTGAGTATAGCAATTTCCCTCAATAGCCCAATCTCCTCCTCCCCCATGCTTCTGTCTTTGGTTTCACAGCCCCAGTTAAGCGTATTGTGCATCTTGCTAGGTCTAGGACTGTCAGGGAAGGCTTTCTGTAGGGGTGTGCTTGCTCTGACACTACACTCCAGCAGTGCACTGCAGTTCCTTGCTTGGGTCTCCACTTTTTTGGGACAGTGGAGACATTCTGCATGTATCCCATGCATACCTGCTCAGGTTATGGTGGGTGCCATAGAAATGTTGAATGACCCATTTACTGTACACATTTGCCCTAGCCACGATGGTTTCTCCTGATTCTGTGAGAATGGCAAACGATCTAAGAATTCTTGCTTCATGTCACTTGTATAACCTTCCATGAGATTCCAGAGTCCTGACAGCTCATCAAATCTGTCAGCAGCCACTTAGAATTGTTAGAAATCTCCTGGCTCTGAGGCAGGAACATTTTTTTTTTTTTTTAATCCTGGCATGCTGGGAGAGTATGTGGCTTGGAGGGAACAGGAGAAGCAGGCAAGTGGTTCTGGTACACTAGGGAATGTTTATGTCTCCCCAGAATTCTGGCTATCAATGCTCTGAGAGTCCATTCTTTTGGACTTAGTATTATGGGTTCTATTGGGTCCCCACCAAAAGAGATGTGCTGAAGTCCTAACCCCAGATCTCTGAATGTGAACTTATTTGGAAATAGAGCCTTTACAGAGGTAATCAAGTTAAAAATGAGATCATTAGGAGGTGTCCAAATCCAATATGACTGATGTCCTTATAAAAAGGGAAATTTAGACACAAATACTAACAGAGGAAAGATGGTGTTAAGACATGGAGAGAGAGGGGCGCCTGGGTGGCTCAGTCGTTAAGCGTCTGCCTTCGGCTCAGGTCATGATCCCAGGGTCCTGGGATCGAGCCCCGCATCGGGCTCCCTGCTCGGCAGGAGGCCTGCTTCTCCCTCTCCACTCCCCCTGCTTGTGTTCCCTCTCTCGCTGTATCTCTCTCTGTCAAATAAATAAAAATCTTTAAAAAAAAAAAAAAGACATGGAGAGAGAATGCCATGTGAAGGCAGAGGATTGAAATGATGCAGCTCTAAGTTAAGGAAAACCAAAAGATTGCCAACAAACCACCAGAAGCTAGAAAACGGCAAGGAAGGATCGACCTACAAGGTTCAGAGGGAGCATGGCCCAGCCGACACCTTAGTTTCAGTCTTCCAGTCTTCAGTACTATGAGAGAATCAATTTCTGCTGTTTTAAGCCACCCAGTTTGTGGTCCTGAGTTGTAACAGCTCTAGGAAACTAATACATCTGGGAATGATTGAAGAGTGTGCCAGTTGCTCTGCTGCCAAAGACTCTCCCAGTGCCTTATATGCCATACCCAAGCCCTGACATGGCAACTATGTATGGTCCAAGGCTGAAAAAGAGGTGGAAACAATGGCCTTCACACAGCTGATGCAGCTAATGGGGAGAGTTTATGGGCCTCACCTGGGTATGGAAAAGATTGATTCCATGGCCTGCAGGAGCTCTTCCTCTGCCAGCCTGCACCCGCATTCTGTCTGCTTGTACAAGGACCTCAGTTCCTCCAGCTCGGACTGGAGAAGAGAGTTGTGCCTCTCAGCCATAGCCACCTGCTCCTTCAGCTCACTGCTCAGGTGTGTGCTGTCATCTAGCTGCACCCAAAGGGTCCTGCGAGAGAAAACACAGGCCTGGGGCACAGATCTCTCTGGGTTCAATGGGATATGCACCTGCATGCATGCTCTGAGCAAAGCTCCACCAATTTAAATTTAAGTATGTTCCTGCTCTCTTGAAGGATTAGATTTGTTGCCCTTACTTTTATTGCTCAACACAATCTGTCTCTTGGTTTGTTTATTACCTGCCCCCATATTACAATCTGAAATACCTTGACCTGAGTCTGAAGCTGGCCCAGGGATTTGGTTGCCTCTGACACCTGCCGGTTGGCATAGCTAAGCTGGAGTTCCATCTCACTGAGGTCCCCTTCCACATTCTTCTTTAGCCGGATCGCCTCAATTCTGCTTCTAGTTTCAGAATCCAGACTAGACTGCAGGGAGTCAATAGTACTTTGCTGGTTCCTCCTAATTTTAGAATAACATTCAGGGGAAAAAAATCATGCACCCAAATTAAGAAAGGCTACCTGCTGTGTACATAATAGTTTAGGAAACAGAAAAAAAAGTAAAAATTCAAGAAAAAGTCTGGGTAATTAACAAAATGAATCTAAGGGGTTGTCATTTTAAAAACATAGAGGTTGGGGCACTTGGGTAGCTCAGTCAGTTAGGTGACCAACTCTTGAATTCAGCTCAAGTTATGATCTCAGGGTTCTGGGATCAAGCCCTGTGTCCAGCTCTGCACTCAGTGGGGAGTCTGCTTGAGATTCTTTCTCTCCCTCTCCTTATGCCCCTTGCCCCACTTTCAGGCTCACACGTGCTCTCTCTCTCTCAAATAAATAAATAAATCTTAAAAAAAAAAGAGGTTGAAGGGTTAGGTTAGTGAAGGTTAATGAGCATCATAACAGATTAAGATTCCCAGGACAACTTCCCACAAGAATCGAGGAAAGTACCAGAATCTTCATGAGGTTCCAGTGCGGCAGCCTTAGCCTTATCTAAGATGCCCTAGAGGACAGCATAGGGCAAACACCTGGATTTCCTAGAGTGGCTAAGGAAGAAGGAAGGATGCTCTTCTGACAGCCATAATATTTAAACTACTTTCAATGGTGAAACATGTCTGAACAAGGCAAGAAAGAACCACCCAGGCTAAAGTCTCAGGGACCACCAATACTGCTCTAATGGCCTGTAGATGCTTAGCTCTTCTGTAATAGCATGGTTATCTTTCTCTAGGAGTTGGAGTACAGTCAATGGTAGGCTGAGAAAACCAACTGCTGTGTAAGGATTGAGTTGCCTCAAATTCCTTCCTAACAACAAAGCCCTATGCTGAAACTATGTTTATAAAGTGACAGAAGCTTAGACAATAAATGTGTGTTCAGAAAAGCCATGAAAAAGTCTGGGGAACTCATGACAACCATTTCCCAGGCTTCTTGCTGTTAGTTTGGGACTTTGTGACTGAATCCTGGCCACTGGATTATGGACAGAAATGTTTCCAGGCCTTGCCCATACAACATTTTCACTTGTATGGTCTAGTACTCCCCTTTTCCTCATCTATGGCAAACTTGGTGGCCATATATAGAAGATTGTGGCATCGCAAGATGGAAGGAACCTGGGTTCTTGAATGACTTTGAAGAATAGTGGTTCACTCTCTAGCCTAGCCTACATTGGACTTGGACATAAAACAAAGATAAACTTTGATAGTTTTAAGTCATCAAGATTTGGTGTTTGTGAACCAGGACAGGCTAACTGCTATAACAAAAATATGCCCTGTTAAGTTTACCCTATGAAACAGGACTTAGTGCTGTACAGACAAGATAGAGGTGGGAAGAGTCTTCCTATTCTTTCAGAGCCCATTATCACAAATAGCAGGAATGTACTCATCTTGGATCAGAATTAGGTCTGCACTGAAATGTCATTGAACCTGTGTCCTGAGCTCAGAGGCCAATCAGGAAGGCATATAGCCCACATGGGGTAGGAGTGTGGTTAGAGTTTTCAATTGGATGACAGGGGGAGGAGCCACTCATCATGACCACCTTTCTCTCCATTGGTGGGACGAAGTCTCACAAGTAGTTATGGAAATGTATGGGAGAATGTAAAGCCCAGAGTTAGCACCTCTCCTCTGTGAACCCCATGTCCCTGTGCCCCACAAGTTGAGGTCAGCCTCTCATGTCTATTCTTATGTCCTGGACTTCTGTTCAGCTTCCATTCAGAATCCTACAGGGATGCCAGTATATAAAGTTAACAGAGACTGTTATGGCTGAATATGTACCTCCCCATTTATATGTTGAAGCCCTAAACCCCAGTACTTCAGAATATAACTATCGCAGAGATATGGCCTCTAAAAGAGGTGATTAAGGTAAAATGAGGCTGTTGGGTGGGGCCTAATTCAATCTGATTTGTGTCCCTATAGAAAGAGAAAATTTGGACACACACAAACACACCAGGGATGCACACGCACAGAAGAAAGATCATGTGAGGACACAACAAGATCATGTGAGGACACAACAAGAGGGTGGACATCAACAAGGAGAGGCCTCAGGGGAAACCAAACTTGCCAACACCTTGATTTTGGACTTGCAGCTTCCAGAATTGTGAGAAAATAAATTTATGCATTTAAGCCACTCAGTCTGCATTTCATTATGGCAGCCCAAGCAGACTTCGACATGGACTCACATTCTCAACATCACTAAAAGTTTTAAGACACTTCTTTGTTTTACATTGAGAAAACTTATTTTTGCCACAGCTGACTCTCCTTCTGTAGGAACACTAAAGCATTCCTAGTTTGGTGTCAAAATCCTCTGTGGAGAGATACATTCTACTTAAGCAATGTTTCAAACTGTATTTTTCTACAGTTGTTTATGAATCTTCATGAGAACCTGCAGACAGTAGAAATTGCTGTGGTTTGAGAGGCTTGGATAGGATACAGGCCTAGAGAATGGCCTCTACACTATCAATAAATTTCATGTATAGTTATATTTTAAAATGAAAACTCCTCCAAGTACCTTTAAAAAAAAAAAATGAAGCTCTCAGGACCAGAACAATATAGTAAGAAGTTCTTCCCCTCACCCCCAGAAATGTGGAAGACAATTTGAAAAAGGAAACCAAACGCAAAAAAAAAAAAAAAAAAATCAGTATAAAAACTTAAAACTTAAGGAGGGAAACCATCAATAAAACAAAAAGGCAACCTACTGATTAGGAAAAGATATTTGCAAGTGATGTATCCAGTAAGTGATTAAAATCCAAAATATATAAATAACTTATACAACTCAACACCAAAAATAATAATAATAATGATAATAATCTGATTTAAAATGGGCAAAAGACATGGACATTTCTCCAAAGAAAACCTATAGATAGCCAACAGACACAACAGATGCTCAACATCACTCATCATCAGAGAAATGCAAATCAAACCCACAATGGGATATTACCTCACACATGTGAGAATGGCTAAACTCAAAAACAAAAATAATAAGGGTTGGTAAGGATGTGGAGAAGAAGAACCCTCATGCACTGTTGGTGGGAATGCAAATTTGTGCAGTCACTATGAGAAACAGTATGGACATTCCTCAAAAAAATCAAAAATAGAATTACCATATGATCCAGTAATTCTACTACTGGATATTTACCCAAAGAAAACAAAAATGTTAATTCAAAAAGATATATGTACTGCTATGTTTATTGCAGCATTATTTACAATAGCCATGATATGGAAGCAACCCAAGTGTCCATCAATAGATGAATGGATAAAGAAGATGTGGTACAGACTTCCAGGGGGAGATGGTGGAGTAGGAGGACCCTAAGCTAACCTCATCCCATGGATACAACTAGATAATAACACATCAGTGTAAATAAACCAGAAAACAAAACACAGACTGGGAGAACTGACTCTCCACAGGTGAAAGTTGAGAAAAGACCACATGGAGGAGAGTAGGAAGGGCAGAGACATGGTTGGGACCTAAATGGACCTATGGGATTGTCCACAGTAGTGAGGAACATAGAGATGAGGGAAACAGACCCTCACCCCAAGCACCCCAGGCACGAGGAACTTGCATGGGAAAGACAAATCCCCATAACATTTGGCTTTGAAAACCAGAGGAGCCTGGCTTCACAAGTTCTTACAACTGGGCTTAGTACCTGGAACTTTAAAAATCAGTGGGATGGGTTCTGGGAGAGCAATGGAAAACTGAAGCCCATCCTTAAAGAGACTGCATGACAAACAGCCCTCAAAGATACAGCATAGAAGCAGCAGTTTGAAAAACACCTGGACATCCAAATTGGCAAGGAAGAAGTCAAACTTTCACTATTTGCAGATGATATGATACTCTATGTAGAAAACCAAAAGACTCCACCAAAAAATTACTAGAACTAATACATGAATTCAGCAAAGTTGCAGGATATAAAATCAATGTGCAGAAATCTGTTGCATTTCTATATACCAATAATGAAGCAGCAGAAAATGAAATCAAAGAATCGATCCCATTTGCAATTGCACCCAAAACAATAGGATACCTAGGAATACCTAACTAAAGAGGTAAAAGATCTGTACTTTGAAAACTATAGAACACTTATAAAAGAAATTGAAGAGGACACAAAGAAATGGAAAGGCATGCCATGCTCATGGATTGGAAGAACAAATATTGTTAAAATGTTTATATTACCCCAAACAATCTACACATTTAATTCAGTCCCCATCAAAATACCACCAGCATTTTTCACAGGACTAGAACAAATAATCCTAAAATTTGTATGGAACCACAGAAGACCCCAAATAGCCAAAGCAGTTCTGAAAAAGAAAAACAAAATTGGAGGGATCACGATTCCAGATTTCAAGCTATATTACAAAGCTGTAGTCATCAAGACAGTATGGTACTGGCACAAAATAGAATAGAGAACCCAGAAATGGACCCACAACTCTATGGTCAGTTAATCTTTGACAAAGCAGGAAAGAATATCCACTGAAAAAAGTTTCTTCAACAAATGGTGTTGGGAAAACTGGACAACAACATGCAGAAGAATGAAACTGGACCACTTTCTTATAACATACACAAAAATAAATTCAAAATGAGTGAAAGACCTAAGTGTGAGACAGGAAACTATCAAAACCCTAGAGGAGAACACAGGCAGCAACCTCTCTGACATTGTCTGTAGCAACTTCTTACTAGACACATTGCTGGAGGCAAGGGAAACAAAAGCAAACATGAACTACTGGGACTTCATCAAGATAAAACAAGCAAAGGCAACAATCAACAAAAACTAAAAGGCAGTCTACTGAATGGGAGAGAGATTTGCAAATGACATATCTGCTAAAGGGTTAGTATCCAGAATCTATAAAGAACTTATCAAACTCAACACCCAAAGAACAAATAACCCAGTTCAGAAATGGGCAGAAGACATGAATAGACACTTTTCCAAAGAAGACATCCAGATGGCTAACAGACATATGAAAAGATGCTCAATGTCACTCATCATCAGGGA